TCACGCTCCTCGATGCCGACCTCCTGGTGGTCATTGCCGATGACGGACCCCGGCTTCTTCTTCTGCAATCCAGATCTCCCACCCCACTGACACTTCTTCTGCGTGACCATGGAGCTGCTGCTGGAGACCTGGTGCTAGCTTCGGATGGCGGCAGCCCGGTGGTGACCTTGAAGTGGCTTAGAATGCCCACTGCTATACTACTAATAATAATAAAAAAATATTGTTATAGCAGTGACGTTTTCTTATTATTAAATTGTTTTTTCGTACTGTGCCTATTTAATAAAAACAGCATTTCTATACATTATATTTATTACCCATATTACTAGGTGACTCTATCCTTAAAGAATTATAAAAATTTTCCCTATCTTCCATATATCTTGCCTTAAGGAGGTAATTTTTAGCTAGATCATTAATATTAAAATTGTAACTCATGGCGCCTAACTGACATTTTTCCAGAAATTCTCTTGTTTCTTCTAAAGACTGTAATCTACAATCTTCGTAACAATCTAATGGTTTGAAATATTCATAAAACCCTTTGAATTTTACTGCTTTTCGATGTGATGGAACTTTCTTTTTCACTTTTCTCACTTCCATCTTATTAGTTTTTTCTTCTGCCGTAAATGCCTTTAATATTTTTGTAAATAAATTTTGACTATTTGCAATTTGACGAACAGATTGAATCGAAGTATGTGATTTTGTAGTACCTAAAATAAATATAAATTTTTAATATCTATTTTGTTTTTAATTTTTCTTTAATTGAATGCTTCTTATACAAGGTGATTCACTTAAGGATGTTCGTAATGGAAAATATCTGTAAGAGGTGTACAATAGTACATTGTGTAACGAGTGAGGAAAAGTTGCGAATAGCGCCACGCGGGCGCAGTTGCGGAATGCGCCCAAGTGGCGCTATGGCAACTTTTCCGAACGAGTTGCACATAATTTGTTACAGTACAAAAAAGACGTTTGTTTGATGTATCGTAAGGTAGTTTTCAAATTTAAAATAACAAATGAAAACTCTTAATTTGTCAAATAATTTTAGGAAAATTGAACAAGTTCCAAAATTTGATCGAACCAGTTTGAAAAAAGGATTTGAGGACAGTAAATTTTCAGGAACATTCAAATTATAGTTTAATCAAAGTATTTTCATCAAAAAAATTCTATAAATTTTATAATCACGTTCTGAAGAAACCTAAACGGTAACATGGGCTGGTCCTAGAACAATGTTTAAGATCCATTTTTTTCTAGTTGATCTGCTTTTTCTAGTCCATCTGTTGTTTATTTCCTTCAATGCCTTCATCTCCTGCCACCCAACACAGCTTAACCGTGTTGCTAGTTGCCAGTTCATTTAGCAATTACAAACAGCTCTGAACAAATTCAGAACAAGCCTTGTTTGAGTCTGAGGTGCAGCCTGACTATTGGAGAATATGTGAATAAACTTGTGTGTGTGATATTGTGAATGAAGCTCTTCACATATGGTGATATGACACAGAAAAAGCTATATATTATAAAAATCGGTCGCACCATCAGAGCAACATGGTTTGATGTTATGTGGATGTCGTGTAGTGTTGTGAAGATATGGGTTAAAATAAGTTACACGCTAGACAATATTTCAGTTTGAAACACTGGTAGGAAATCTCTTAAACTTCTTTGCTACGTTTCCTTTTGCCTCATTCTTACTCCTCTTTCTCTCATATTCCATTGCCTGTTTCCATTTTTCCAGTGCATTTTATATCGACCCCCATTATTCCCAATTCCCGAAAGATGAATTTTGCAATCATTCTGTCCAATTAAGATAGGCCTGAATTGGATTTAAGAAGTTTTAAAAAACAGTCTTCAACAGTAATGCAATCAAGATCTTGAAGTTCCCATTGTTATAATCAGAATTATTTGTCCGAGAAGAATGTGCCTGTTGACACGTCTCCGAATGTTATGTGTCCATAATTTATGTGCCTTTCTACTGGTCATACATAAATCGTTGCCTGAATCGATACACTACGCGCCCGAGATATTGTTTTTTTTTTACTCAAGCGATGATTAAGGAAGAATAAAAAAGAATGTCAAATTATAATTACTGAAGCTTGGCTGCCTTGAAATGGTTCTTCGAAAAGTCTGTATCTTGTATTCTGGAACTTTATTCAATAATCTTACGATAATATCCCCAATATACGGCAGATGAGGCGAGTTCTGCGACATAATGTAAAAAGTTTTTTGATAGCTGGGCAATCTGGGATCTCGATAAAGTCGGCACAGAAATTCAAATATCCTAAAAAATGTAATACCGTTAGCCATAAATCGTTTCGACAAATTATTTGAAATAATTGATTTAGATGTCAACAAATTTTAACTGTCTAATACAATAATACAATAATTCATGAAACTATAATAAAACATAATTCATGTAATCAGAACTACCTATAATTTTAAATTAATTTTCTCCATTTAAATAACCATGGATGATCTTCTTTCTGTTTTGCCCTAAATTAACATTATTTAATATCTATAATGCAATGCATTTTTCTAAAATTTTTTTATCACGACAAACAACAAGATAAATTCGAAGTTTGAAAATTATAGGAACGTGACCTCAAAAAATATCATTTAAGACTCCTGTAATTCATTACTAATTAAAAGTGAGGTTGACATTAATGGAAAAGGTCTATTTGCTGAAAATTATTGGTAATTTTCATTGCACTACTGATATTTTTAGTAGGTAATACTGGTATGTGGAATATTACTAATAAATCAATTTCAGAATAAGCTCACGATGTTTTAGTGATTTTATCTGATACAAATGTTCTTTGTAAATAAAAAATAAACATTACAGGTATTTGGACGCATGCTTTTTTCTCACGTATGCCCATGTTCTTCTGAGTCTGTAAATGGCAGGGCTTTGGAGACCACCTATTACGGCTCTGCATGACTGAAAGTTTGATATTCTATAGCATTTATCTGCGACATTTATGAATCTTGCAAGAAGTCTTGCTCTAGTCTGAAACGAAAATATTTATTAATAACACAGTTTTAGTAGGTAATTATTCTAATTAGTTTTTTTACTTTAGTTTAGTTAAGGAAGGTTTTTGGGGTAGCTAAAGATAACATAAAAACATATTTTTTGCCTTAAAGAGCAGTCTTTTTTTTTGTTGATAGAAAAGTCATTGTATTCGGTGTAAACAAGGTACAGGGTGATTCACTATATCTTGACCTCCCTTTTAACTTTTTTGTTTTAAAACTTATAAAAAAAATGTGAAATACAAAAGTTGCACGATTTTTTATGAAATTTTCGAAAATGATAGTAGAAAAACGAAAGTCTAAATAAAATGGCCGTGGTGTCAAATTTGTTTATTTAAATGGCACACCCTGTATATTTTTACATATTTGGATAGAAGGTTCCCTGTCTAGTACCTATATAGGGTTAATTGGGTCCATCTCTAACAATAAGCGAGATTATAATAATTTAATATTATTTAAAAAACTAAAAGAAGGTTTTTTATTAAGAAAATAAGACATTTTGTAATTGTTAGACCTCTTTCAGGCACTTCTGCCTTTTTTTCCAATTACGTAGGAATCTACATATTTAGTTCAGGAAATATAGAGTTAGACGCAACTTTTTGTTTCGGCAAGTTGAACTTATCACTATAGATGCTAAATATTATGTATGTACAATAACATATTAGTTTCCACAGTCATAAAAATGGAGGGAAGATTGTTTACATGGTGGTTAATTGTATAATTTTTACGTAAATTCACGTTTTTCGCTTATAACTTTTTCCGTTCATTTCCGCAAGAAAACATGTACTTTTTTTTTCGTCTTCAAAAGATCTACAAAACTAGCCCTCGAGCGTCAAAAAATATTGATTAGATCAAAAGTTATAAACAGAAGTTTATTTATGACTTTTGAATTAAACATTTATAAACTGTTATTATTACCACAACGTTTTGGCATCGCATCCTCTCATTCCTTATAACTGTCTAATAACTCACACGAAATCTGGAATCGGTAAGTTGAATAGTTTACACTTTGGCCTTATAAACAAATTAACTATTATTAGTCTGGACGATCTCGAGGATCTTTCACAATCGCTGATTTTTTTCAGGGCAGATTTCACAATAATACATTGAAATCTATAATTTTTTTTTAATTTCAAATTTGCAACTTGGAAATTTTTATTTTTCAGCCTTAGTTGCAAAATGAAATATGCGACGCACGAGCGTGATATAGTTATAGAGGGTGATTGGTGAGGAAACGGCCATACTCGAGGAACGTGTTCAGGAGATCAAAATATACAAAAAAAGTCAAATAAACATGTGTCCGATTCTTAACCGTTACTGGGATATTAATTATTAATAGTAAGCGATTAACCGCGGAAAATAATAGTTAACATTTGTTTTTTGTGGTTGTAACGTTCAGCAGTTATTGTTTCAAATAATATTTGGCATTTGTTTTTTGTGGCTGTCANATTATTATTATTATTATTAAACGATGCTCCTTGAGCTCCAACGATGTACTGCTTCATCTGACTTCAGTTCAGTTTCTAGTTCAAGGTCCCTTGCCGCCAGAACAGTCAACACATCAGCGACACAAATCTTCTTTAACATCTGCTTGAGCCAGTAGAAACTCTGTCTAACTTTGTTTAAAGTCTTGTTTACGGCAAAACGTCATCCATCTACTTACACCGTCACGTCGTGGACTTTTCTCTGCACTTCGTCGACTTTATCCTTGGAAGTACGTCCTGCTTTCTTACTTCTTTGCCATGTGTACTTTCTCACTGCCTCTTCAGTGACCCATTTTCTAAGAGGAGTGAATCCTACATTGCCCAGTAATCTTTTAACGTCAATGATTTGTCCGATATTTCTGTACATTTCAGACTGTCACCATTTCGCTGGTCTTCTGTCAGTTTTTTAGAAACATGAAGTAGGTACGTGTGTGTTGCGACTATAGTTTGTACTTTTAATTTAAAGGAATAGAAATGAATATTCGAATGAATGACATATATGAAGATGACGTACATATATCAGAAATGGTATGATTATTAATTGATCTCAACATCAAAACCGAAGAACACTTTCTTTATCATACAATGATTTAATGAGAATTAAACAATATTATCAAAATTAAAGTTGACCTAGCCATTACATAATATTTATAATGAATAACGAAATAAAACGAATATAAATAAATTCTTCTTTTACTTAACTTCAATAATAGCCAGCTTTATGCAGCCAGCGTGAGTTGACAAGGAAGCAATGTGATGATGTCAGCAAGATAAAACTGGCCAGTTCCACACTATTTAGCTTTTGGATGGTCTGCCACAAGAATATATACAAAGCAACACTACTAGCACAAGGAAACGAACAACATCTTAATAAATTGTTCGTTCTTAAAATTTTTAATTTAATTTAGTTTTATTGTAAACAATAAAGAATTTCATGTTTTTAATAATAGTAGTATAGCAGTGGGCATTCTAAGCCACTTCAAGGTCACCACCGGGCTGCCGCCATCCGAAGCTAGCACTAGGTCTCCAGCAGCAGCTCCATGGTCACGCTGAAGAAGTGTCAGTGGGGTGGGAGATCTGGATTGCAGAAGAAGAAGCCGGGGTCCGTCATCGGCAATGACCACCAGGAGGTCGGCATCGAGGAGCGTGACGTCAGAGGCGGCAGCAGGTGCGTGCATGAGCAGCGGCTAGGGGCAGCGGGGGGCAGGCGCCTGGGGCGGCAGCGGGGTGCCGGCGTGTGGGGTAGCAGCGCGATGCCGGCGTGCGGGGCGGCAGCGGGGTGCCGGCTTCCAGCATCGTAGGCCGTATCCGGCCTACGATGCGGGAAGCCGGCAGCGGGCTGCGGGGGGCGGCGGTGACGGGCTCTTGGTATCAATCTTTTTGTTATAAGGTAGAAAATATAAGAAACGTGATAGTTAAAAAAATGGCAACATGGTAACGTAAGCGGTCTGCAATATTTATCGAGCTAAGTAAACAGTCTCGAGCCCCCAAGGTTATAATTCTGCATGTTAGCGAGTTATCTGTGACACTAATATAAATATTGTGATGATTTATTAGG